CGTTATGGTTAATAATTTTGTAACTCTTTTCTTAGTTAAAATACTAAAATTTTGCAATGTTGACCTTCATGTGTATCTTCCAAGTCAGTATCATGTTGCCAAGTCAATATTACTAACAAAATTGCTAACTGAAAGTTAATATTTGGCTAATTCTTAGTATTTTGATAGGTTTGGATTATATAAAAGAATCTGAAAATGGATTGAATAAAAAATACCATTATCCAAAAGGAAATGTATAAAATATAAGAGTGATGAGTACACTAGGGTGTCTACCAATAGCCCATATGATGACACTTACACCCCTGACCAGTAATCTTGAATAAGTTGCATTTGCTTTAAGTGTGTTTGCAGGATGTATGTTTATTTTACGTGTGTGTTATTTAAGTGTGTTTGCTTTATGTGCTTTGAATTGACTCTTGATGTATCATTTTTATTATTGGAATGCAGTTCAACTATTAATGGAACTATTTTATTTAATGATGACCAAAAAAAGGGAAAATGCATTGATGAACTAAGGAAAAGTACAACAATACAAACACATAGCATAAATTAGCACACAATACATAAAATAAGTTAAGCACATAATACATAAAACAAACTTAACTTAGCACACAATACATAAAACAAACTTAGTACACAACATTGTTCTACTGTTCACCGTCTGCTTTTGTCCACAGATGCTCAACCAAGTCATCTCTCAACGCGAGATGACCATCACGATTACGAATCCTATTGTGCCTTATCATATACTCCATGAGGGTCGGAGTGTCATGATCTGTTGGATCTAATGAGATATCTGGATTAGTATCATACTCAATTTGCTCCGCTTCATCTCCAAACTGATGTCATTGATCCTCAATTATCATATTGTGTAGAATAACACATGTTAACATAATTTCTCTCAGTGTTTGCACATCCCAAAACCGACAAGGTATTCTAACAATGTCCCATCTTTCTTATAGAATGCCAAAGGCTCTCTCAACATCCTTGTGGTATGACTATTGCCATTTTGCAAACAACTTCTTCTTCTGGTTACAAGGATTGCTAATGGTCTTCACAAATGTAGACCATTGAGGATAAATCCCGTCGACCAAGTAATAACATTGATCATAAATTGTACCATTTACCCTAAATCTGGCTTTTGGAAGATTTCCTCTTACTGCTTCATTGAAAAGTAGTGATACTCCAAGAGTGTTCAAGTCATTGTTTGACCTAGCATTTCCAAAGAAGGCATGCCAAATCCACGTGTCGTATGATGCTACAACTTCAAGGACAATGGTTGGTTTCCCCTTGTATCCAGTATACTAGCATTGCCAAGCCATTGGACAATTTTTCCACTGCCAGTGTATGTAGCTGATTGAGCCGATCATACCCGGGAAGCCACACCTTTCGCTGTGATCAAGAAGGCGGCAAAGATCCTCCACATTTGGTGCTCTTAAGTACTCAGGATCATAGATGCAGATGATGGTATTACAAAATTTTTGCATGCAGTGCAATACGGTCATCTCGCCCATATCAAAGGTCTCATCTATGGAGTCGGCTGAGCATCCATTTGCAAGCATCCAAAGGGAAGTAGTAATCTTTTGTTCAGGGGAGAAAGAGGGGCGACCCGCAACATCTTGATCTTGTTGGAAATAGGAATCGTGTTGAATGATGTCTGTCTTGACTCAGTTGAACAAGTAGAGGGACATCCGAAATCTCCTTTAGAAGAACCTAGCATCGTAGGTCGGATTTGTGACGAAATATTGTTGCATCAAGTGTTGGTATGCTAATACCCTGTTACGAAACACCGATTTGCGGGTGTGTGAGCGATGACGAGATGAGGATGCTTGTTGTTGGAACAGGAAGGCTCCTGCCGTCACCATCATTTGTTGACGTTCACGGTCAAGTTGGCACTTATAATCCCATTGCCTATCATCGGCTCCCTGCTGTCTCTCCTCAGCTTCTCTATTTGGGAAACTCATGATGCAGAAAGAGATTTTGGTGTGAAGAGAGAAGTATGAAGTTTCAAAAATGAACAAGGTTTAATGGTGTGGATGAGTAGAATGACAAATTTTAGCCTTCATTTATAGAATAACGAAAAGATTTCTTCAGCAACAATATGATTAAAGTTGGATGAACAGTTGATGGCACCACTCAATGTGTTTAAAGCTGGAGGAACAGTTGATGACACCACTCATTCTGAATAACGCAGGAGGAACATTTGATGGCACCATTCTTTCTGATTAAATCTGGAGGAACAGTTGATGCAACCACTCATTCTGACCAAAGTTGGGTTAATAGTTGATGGCACAACTCATTTTGTGAAACATGTGATGAGTCATGGTCTTCTGAAATATTATTGTGATTTCGTCATTGATGACGTCATATTTAATTAATGACAAAAAAATTATGTCCAAATTAAAAAAAATTATATCACAATGTTCGTCTTAATTAATTATTACTACCTATATAAAAAAAATGATCAAATTATTTTCCATCCATACTCTATGCTATAAAAAATTATGGTTAAAATACACTTGTATATCCAAAACTTTCACGGTTGTGCTAATAATATCCAAATTTTGAGAAATACCACTTATAGGCAATTCTGTCACATTCTTTAACGTTGTTAACGTTAAGTCTGACTGGACAAACGGTGGTGCTTACGTGGCAAAATCTTATTTCCCAATTCCTCTGTAATTATCCACGTGGATTGCTGATTAATTTAATTTAAAAAATAAATAATTAAAATTTCAAACCCCCCATCTGACCTCACCCCTCGTTCGACCTAGCTTTCTACCCTTCTCCTTTTATTCATCGACGAACCCTGTAACCCTTCGCCTGAGGAGGAAGACAAAGGCGACGAAGGTGACGGAGAACTATCGTCCATCGCCGACGGTCGATCTGTCACCGACGACAGTCGTCGTACCCCCTGATTCACCTCCCGTCATCGATCTACCCCCCTATGCTAGTCCCGATTCACCTCCCGTCATCGATTTACCCTTCTTGCCCACCGTCCTAGACGAAGCCAACACCGATTTTGGTGACTTGAACAACTCGCGACGAGCTTAGGATGATTCCTCACTAGCTAACTTTCCGCTGAAGACCTCAGAATCAAACCCTCGAAACGTGAGGAGAGGAGGTCGCTTCGAAGAAACCCTAATCGCACAGAAAAAGAGGATTTCTGAGCACCCTCGGCTGTAGCCACTGGTTTTTGCAAACTACCACCCCATGACCTTGTGTCAAATTTGAAGAAGAACATCACTTAGACATGATGGGACGTCGATTGAATTCCTCGGCAGAGACGAGAATCATCAAAGAAGCTAACTGCCTAGGACAAAAGGCAAGCTGGGTCGCCGATCGCCAGGAGTTGCCAAATCGCAAGAATGCACGAATCCAAAATCTTCAGTCGATGGGTGGAGCTTGAATCGCCGAGTGGAGATTAAGTGTTCGGGAGGAGATTTAGTCGGCAGGAGGAGGTTCAATCGCCGCCAGGGTGCGAACCTTAAAAACGAAATCAGAAAAAGGGATTGGTCGTGCTCTTCGTGGAAAGTAGAGTGGGTATATGGGGGAAATTATTTTAAATTATTTTTAAATTATTTTTAATTTCTTACGTGTCACCTTTGACATAGTTGGCGATTACGTGTCTGCTTAGTTGGTGCCTAGTCAGCTTGCCGTCAGCTATGTTGACGGAATTATTAACGTCATCAAAGTATTTAACGGAAATAGATAGATTTGGCAAAGTACAACTTTAAAACGTGGCTATAAGTGATATTTCTGAAAATTTGGATATTATTGGCACAACCGTGAAAGTTTTGGATATACAAGTGTATTAAACCAAAAATGATTTATCAACCAACATACTCTAAATTAGTTCAAGGACAATTTTATTCACCGAACAAAAAAATTAGACCTATCTTGTGGTACCTACATTCCTAATGCACATGACCACATCAATGCGTCCATGAAAACTCCAGCCTGACTTTCATGATTTGTCTTGTACTGCGGTTATTTCATATTAAACTAAATAACTATGAATGATACATATGGTCAATTACCCTATAAGATAAAAGATTTAAATAATTGAAATAGTATAGAAAAATTGTTATTCGAAAATTTTGTTTTTTTAAACTCACCCATTTGTCCAATCATGCCATATTATCATGAGATTTACGATTTAACGATTAACCAAACTAAAACTTTTAAAGAACTGACCACTTACAGTTTGAATAACAATATCGTTGCTTTTATAGTTCTAAAAATTAATACCAAGTTAAGAATTATACATCATTTCTACACATTCAATACTGCAATTCAATGTGCAATATTAGAATCAATGATATTTGGGTTGTAATTTTAAAATTATCGTCCATTTATAGAATAGACATAAATTAAATTTATTACTAAACTCTAATTAAAATAATCAAAATATGAAAATTCATATATGAAATAAAAAATAAGTACTTACGAGAGAGTTCGTGGGCTAGCTAACAGTATTGAAAAATTCATATGTTTTTAGATTTTAGTATTGAAATATTTCTTTAGTGCAATTGGTAATGGTTGTTGTCTTTGTTTGGAAAAACCATGGTTCAAATCCCAAGATTGATGTATTTTTATTCCGAGATTGATGTATTTTTATTCTTATGAATAAAAATAAATAATGATTGTGAAAACACAATTATCCTTCCTACTTTCACTCCCGTTGTAGTAAATTTGAAATGCTAAAAAACTGTCTCAACTCTGTTATAATATATGGGTAGATTATAACATATTATTGTAAAACACTTAACTAGCTTGCTGCCAGGAGCATGAAAAGTAGCGTTTATTCATGGAAATTTTGCATCTATATTTATGTAAATTTGTGCTTAGTAGACTACGGTACTGCTACTTCGAACCGTACGTATATCTTATCAGGCGAGCATAAACTTTCGTTGGGCGGCGCGTGCTTCAACTTTTTATCCTGAAACCATAGAAGAAGATGAAGCAAAGTTCCTAAGCACGAAAAAACAGTTTTTGGTCTATAAATATTTGGTACCGAGTAACGAATGTATATGTAGAATTACGTACCTATCACAGTTGGGCTTCTTGCGGAGCATGAAAGGGAGTGTAACTCCACAAAGGCGTGGGATTTTTTTCAACCTTTTATCCCTCAAACCTGTGGTATCCCCGAGAGCAGCTTTGAGGCACATACAGGAATTCTTCTTGTCGTCGACGGAGGGTCCGGCTTCAACAAAAGTTGCTTTCAGCCAATCGCAGCATGCCGGAGGGACTATATTGCCCACCTTTATTTGGGCGTAATCCATGCATGGCCCTGCCTTGACGCTCACGTCGCTGCACGAAATAGCCGCACCGCTGCTGGTTGTAGCGCCGAAGCTGATGAAAAGGAAGCAAGAAACAACTGCGATATTGATGATCGTGAACATGGAGAAGAAACGGCTATTAGTCATCGTGATATCTATCTTTCTATATTTCCCCGACGTTGTTTGCCTTTAATTGTTATAATGATTGTGTGGGTTTGGTTTCTATGCCTGTGCGGTTTTATATAGTTGAGAGAGTTTTGATCGTTTGGAATGTCTATAGGTTTATTAATTATTTTGTTTTCATAGTTTTGATGGGGACAAGACTACTTATATATTCCTTTGCTCAAATGAGAAAGTATGCATCCAAAAAACTCTTCACTCTTCATCAGCTATGAATGAATTTCCACTTTATGAAAGTACTCTTATCATTGGATTAGACTGATGTTATGCACTTTAATAATTAATAAGAAAATAGTGTCATATTATGGACAGGTAGTTACCACCAGTTAATACTGATTAACTAAGTTTGTCCTCTTCATTGTTCTAATCATTACTGACCTTGTGAAACTTTGTGTAGTTATGGAAACTTTGTGGACTTCGCACTGTTAATGACCTTGTCGGTATCATTAGAGTAACATGAAGAGAGTTAATTGTAATTGATGGAAACTTTGAGGGTTCTTTGATTTTATTGGCTTTTCCATTTTTTTATTAATACTTTTTATGTCTTAATTTACATAGGAAAGTCATTAAATTCGAACTAGCCCATGGTTATCCAACCAGATCTGCCTCGCCCAAAGCGTATTAAATCCGTAATGACGAGTGTTATCAGTTCGGGTTTGTTCAACATAAAAAATTAGTTGACCCGTTTAACATAATTTGACCCGGACAACGCGAGATGAACCCGATGTTGCTAATTTGGGATCGGGAGAGAGTTTTTCCTGCTTTTGTTATTGACATGTTGGGTTGGGTGTGGATTTTGTATAAAATAACCTAGTCCACTTTCCATCTGACCTGCACCTAAAACAACAAAACATTCAACTCAGTCAAATCAAGTTGAATTCGGTGTTGACGAATTTTGGTCTGGGAGAGAGTTTTATCCACTTTGGTAATTAATAGCTTAGTTCGGGTGTGGATTTATTGAAAACTCGACTCACTTAATAAAAATTTAGTGGTATTAATGAGTTTTGGGTCGGGAGCGAGTTTTACTCACTTTTGTAATTGACGGGCTGGGCGAGGTATTGTTACAATCTTGGCCCACTTTCAATCCGAGCTCACCGTAAAAACAAAACAATTGACCCGGTCAAAGTGCATTAATCCCGATAACGAGTTTTTAATTGGGACTGAGTTTTACCCGCTTTTCTGCTTGGCAAGTTAGGTTGGGTGTGATTTTTTGAAAACTCGACAAACTTTCCATTTGACCCGCACCTAAAAAAACAAAACAATGTCATTTTTGGATGGGTGCCCGACCTAATTCGGCAAGCTTGGAGTTGGTTGAACCTCATGTTGATGAGTTTTGGGCCAGAAGCGAGTTTTACTCGCTATTGTAATTGGCGAGTTGGGGCGGGTGTTGATCTTTTTGAAGCTCGACAAGCTTTTGCATCTGACCCGCACCCAAAAATCAAACAACGGGTTGAATCTGATTGTTCTATTTTAAACCCTATGTAATGGTGAAATTGATATTCCTTATCCTTAACTATTTTCAACTTGCTTTCTAGTTTCATTAATGCGTTACATTTAATTTGTACAAAATCACTTTTTCCTTTTCAGTTCCTTAATTTTATTCATTAGTTGTGTCTACCAACACACCTATCCAATAATTTTGGGTTCGTCACTGGTATTGAGTGTTGGAATTAATCGAAATATGTAATTACCTGGAAATATCTTATCAGATTAACAAAGGCGGATAGATCTAATTACCTGGATTCTTGGTGGTATATTGTTGGGAACTTGATGCGGAATCTTTAGTACGATCTTTAATCGGACAATATCTCCAAGAGCACGATCCGGGAAGTTTAGTGGTCTTCCTCAACCAAACCTCCTTAGTCCACTCACGGGAAACCTCACGTATTCCTGATGGGAAGAATATGTGTGTATTTTCGGTCTTGGTGTCTTAGGGACCACAACCTCTAGGTTCTTTATATACTATGTTTAGTTAGGGTTCCCATAAAACCCTAATTAGGTTTAGTATCTGGTTTCCAATCATTGGGTCCATATAAGATATTGAGTAGTCTTGGGCTTCACAATTTGACCACTTATAATTAGCCCACTTTAACAAATAACTAATATAATAATTTAGCCATAAACCATAACCGACATCACGTGGAACCTATATTTTCAACAATCTCCCAGTTGGGTTGCATGGTTTATACAAATAATTATATAACAAAGTTCCTTAGGCACGCGTCCGAATGTTATTTGTACAATGACTATTCCTCAACAATCTTGCTCACGCCATGTATAGCAGTGGAACCAACGCAGCTTTAATCATGATATGATAGTGATTAAACCACCATGATCACCACATTTATACACTCAATGACATAGATCAAATATGGATGAGTGTCATGAAAATTACATGTAATGTGATCCGTAACATGCATATTTTCAACTGGTCCAACTTTAGTGAGATCAATAAATACTTCATGCAATGTGAATATTGCGTAAATGAACTAAACACCTTAAAGGTCAAAACGGAAACTGAAGAAACAAAATATCACTTTATTCTGCAGAATCATATGTCAATGTATGTAGAACATACCCAAACGACTCCCACTAAACAAATGTATCATCTTGAATAACGAACATATGAGTAGTGTGCTCATTAAATGTTGTAGGCGGTAAACCTTTGGTCAATGGTTCAACTAGCATAGATTCAACACTAATATGCTCTATGGAAATCTGTCTATTTTGAACCCTCACCTTAACAACCAAGTACTTGATATCGATAAACTTTGACGAAATTTAGTTTTTATTATAATTTTCATCAACATATCTCATCAGGACATTGCATCATATCATATAATCATACAACATTTGACATCACATACAAACTTTACAAGTTCAAGTTGGAGACCTATATGAATTTCGTATAGAATTTCTCAATTGCTTGCTTTAACATTTCCTATCAAACATACAACTCCATGTCACCTATGGTTAAGGTTTTTTTTAAAAAAAACTCCGCATATCTTCAAACACAAGAAGGCTGCACTGCGAAGAAGGCTACACTACGAGAAAACTAATTAACACCCACAAGAAGGCTACATTGCGAGGGAGCTAATCAAGACCATAAGAAGACAACACTGCAAAAGAAGGCTACACTGCGAGGGAAACCAATTAGCACCCACAAGAAGGAAACACTACAAGGGAACTAATCAAGAACCATAAGAAGGCTACACTGCATGAGAAAGTAATTGGCACCTACATCTCGGCTACACTGCCAGGGAGTTAGTTGTACCCATGACACGGCTACACTGCGAAAGACGGCTACCTTGCGAGGGAATCTAGTTGGCACCTACATCTCGGCTACACTGCAAGGGAGCTAATAAGTACACATGACACGACTACACTGCGAAAGACGGCTACACCGCAAAGGATAAACTACATTGTGAAGGAAACTAGTAAGCACCCTATCTCAACTACACAACATGGAAGCTACCTAATGACCTCAATTCTCATTATACTTCAAGAAAGTTGGTGAGAGGACTAAACTCAAAAAATCACAACTCTCGTAGTAAACCGGCCAAAAATGGTGTTCTATGATTACTTTGTATACCTCTTAACGCAGCGTGATATACAAAGTGGAGGCAACTGTAGACACCACTTTTTGTCCGGGTTAAAACATTTTCAATTAAATAAAATTAGTATTTATTGAAGGTTTGCAATAGCGAATCTTAAATGATATTCAAGCTAAAGCATATTGATAATACTTTAGATTTGTCGTGCTTACCATAACTTGACAATAGCTTACCATAACTTGGCAAGATTAAGAAATAGCAAATCTTATGAATACAATTAATAGTGAGATTTGAGATTGTTTTGCTTTGCTTTGATTTGGGACCAATTAGGCAATTTTACAATTGGGTGAAGTTGATATTTGGATTGGTTAGAATAGTCAAATTAAGAAAAAACAATTAATTAAACTAAATGGAATTAATACAAACTAAAAATTACAAGTACAATTACTAAATAAATTACTAAATAAATGTTACATCACAACTAGTTTAAATAGTTCTTACAATCAATAAAAAGCTAAACAAGTCCAAAACCTAAGTCAAAGTCCAAAGTCAACAAAAGTCAAAGTCAACTTGATCAAGCCAGTAAACAAAATCAATCTAGTCAGGTCTGACCAAATCCATACCGGTCTTACCCAAAACTGGTATTGGTGCGATTCTCCATATAAAAATCCTTGGGAGCTGGGGGGGGGGGGGGGCAGAGGTCTATTCTTTTCCTTCTTCTTCTTCATGGGGGGGGGGGGAGGGGGGGGAGGGCAGAGGTCTATTCTTTTCCTTCTTCTTCATTTCCTCCTACAGACAATGAAATTGTGCCTCCTGCCACAAGAGCCACCGCCACCGCATTCTTCTGCTTCTTCTGATTTCTTTTCCCCGTGAACAATAGTCCTTCTCCTTTCCTTATTCTCGGGCACTTATCGTCCACCTAAAACAAACAGACGCAACTACTTCTTCTCTTGCCCCAAAAACAAAATACAAATGACCCACTTCCTCAACTTTCCTTGCAAACCCACGCACAGGCATGCCAACACCTCCCTCCTTACAAACTTCCTCAGTCTTCTTATTTAGCCACACGCACAGAACACATATACTACAACATCGAGAAAGAAAAGAGGCAATAAAAGGCAGCAAGCAATATCAAACTAGCTGAGCTAGGGTTAAGAAGAGGAAGAAGAATGCGGCACAGAAATGGGGAACGCGCAAGAGAATCGTTGTTCTCTGCATTTGATTTATATATCAATCTGAACTGTGTTCTTCACGTTACAAACTCAGGGGAAAAGAAAATGAAAACAGAAATTCAAATTGACTGTAAAGTAAATGACACTTGTCTTCTCTCCATTGGCAACGGTAACAGTCCACTCAACGGTAAAACCCGAGACTCCACAACGACGCCGCTTTGCCTCTTCGTTTAAGTTGAGTGGAGGGAACCCAGAAACGTTTCGTTTCTGGGTGAGGTTTCGTCTTCGTTCAATCCTGCACAGTCTTCATTTCTTCAGACTTCTTCACTTTTGCAGGACACCTTCTTCTTCCAATTCACTTGATACTCCCCCACAAGCTGGCGAGTAAGCATTGCACACTCCCAGCTTGTCCAACAAGAACTTCAATCTATAACGGGTCATGCCTTTGGTAAACAAATCTGCAACTTGGTCATCAGTTCTTACATGAAACAGTTTAACCAAACCAGATTTCAGCCTTTCTCTTGTAACATGGCAGTCTATCTCAATGTGTTTCGTCCTTTCATGAAACACGGGATTTTCAGCAATATGCATAGCAGATTTGTTGTCACAAAACAGATGAATTGGTAAAGGTACCTTAACTCCCATTTCAGTCAAGAGATTCCTTAGCCACTGCACTTCACACACAACCTGAGCCAAAGCTCTATACTCAGCCTCAGATGAGGATCTGGACACTGTAGTCTGCTTCTAAGTCTTCCAGGTGATTAATGAAGTCCCTAAGAAAGTACAGTAGCCATTGAGTGATCTTCTTGAATCTGGACAGCTTGCCCAGTCTGCATCACAGTAGCCAGATAATTCAAGTTTTGAATCTGCCCTGAAGATCAAGCCTTGACCAAGAGTTTGTTTTAAGTATCTAATAACTCTATGTGCTGCTTGTAAATGCTCAACACAAGGAGCAACTTGGAATTGAGCAAGTTGTTGGACAGCATAGGCCACATCAGGCCTTGTGATGGTCAAGTAATGCAGTCTTCCTATCAGTCTTCTATAGACACCAGGATCTGCCATCAATTCTCCTTGTTCTGCAGATAGCTTAACATTACAGTCAACAGGTGACAAGCAACCCTTTGCCTCTACAAAACCAGTATCATCAAGCAATTCCAAACAGTATTTCCTTTGACTGACTGAGATCCCCTTGTGATCTCTTATCACTTCCAGTCCTAGAAAATAACTGAGCTGCCCAAGGTCTTTAACCTTGAATAATTTACTTAAGAACTTCTTCAGTTGTTCTATGTCCCCAAGATGACTCCCAGCAATCAGGATGTCATCAACATAAACAAGAACCACAACCACTCTTCCCTGAATCCATCTCACAAACATTGAATAGTCAGAGGCAGTTTGTGAATAGCCATTTTTCAACAATGCACTGGTGAGATTTGCAAACCACTGTCTGCTTGCCTGTTTCAGGCCATATAAGGATTTCTTAAGCCTAAAAACAAGACCTGAATCCTTAGGAACATCAACTCCAGGTGGGATTTCCAAATACACTTCCTCCTCCAGGTCTCCATGAAGAAAGGCATTGGACACATCCATCTGGTGTATGTGCCAATCCTTAGAAGCAGCTACTGCTAACAGGGTTTTGACTGAATTGATCTTAGCTACTGGAGAATAGGTGTCAAGAAAGTCAATCCCATAAATCTGGGTATAACCCTTAGCAACTAGCCTTGCTTTAAACCTCTCTATTGTACCATCAGACTTGTATTTCACCTTGAACACCCATTTAGCACCTATAGGTTTCTTGCCTGGTGGTAGCTTGACCAATTCCCACGTTTGATTTTCATACAAGGCATAAATTTTCTCTTTACAGGCTTGGTTCCATCTAGGATCCTTGCAAGCCTCAGCATATGATGAGGGCTCTTGTATAGAAAGGACACTAAGAGCAAAAGCTCTTTGGGAAGCAGACAAATGATCATAGCCAACCTGATGACTAATATGGTGTTTAGAGGTAGCAGCCATACTAACATGATAATCTTTATGCCAAACTGGTACAGTGTGAGGTCTACTTGACTTTCTCAAAAATGCAACATCATCTGTGTCATCCTGCTCAGGAAACACATCAATCTCACTATCCTCCCCCTCAGAATGCAAACTGACAGAAGGAGGAACCTCCTCAGAAGCAGCAGGCAGTGTGGAAGAAGAAGAAGGGGTAGTAGAAGGAGTAGATGTGATAGAGTTTGCAGGCTGAAGTGGAGATAGATGTGGTGAGTGAGGAAGGTTTTTGGAAAGAGAAGGAGTTTGAGAAGTAGAAGGAAAGTGTGGTAAGATAGGCTCTGTGGGCATGGGGAAAAATGGAACATCAGTAGAAGAAGAAGAAGAGGTGGAATGGAAAGGTAGGATAAATTCATAGAAAATCACATCTCTGGAAACAAAGAAAGAGTGTGAATTGATGTCATAGAGCTTAAAGCCTTTAATCCCTGCAGGAAAACCAAGGAATACACACTGCCTGGCCCTGGAATCAAATTTTGTTCTATCCCTATGCAAAGAAGCAGCATAGCAAAGGGATCCAAAAACCTTGAGGCCATTCAGATTGGGAGCTGTTCCATACAAAAGCTCATAAGGTGACTTGTCCTCAAGAACAGTAGAAGGAAGTCTGTTAATCAGATACACAGCATGCAATACACAGTCACTCCAGAATCTAAGAGGAATGCCAGATTGAAACCTAAGAGCTCTTGCTACATTCAGTATATGTTGATGCTTCCTTTCAACCCTGGTATTTTGTTCTGGAGTTTCCACACATGACTGTTGATGTTCAATACCCTTATCACTATAGAATTCAGCCATGTGAAACTCAGAACCCTGATCACTTCTGATAACTTTAACAGACTTAGAGAACTGCCTTTCAACCATAGTGCAAAAGGATTGCAACAAAAGACCAGTTTCAGACTTGTGTTTCATTAAGAAAACCCAAACAGCCCTTGTAAAATCATCCACAATTGTTAGGAAATAGGAAAAACCTTCATGTGACTTGACAGCCAATGGCCCCCATATGTCAACATGAATTAAACCAAAAGCATCCTCTGCTCTACTGGAACTTACAGGGAAAGAAAGCCTTTTATGTTTGGCATAATGACAAATTTGACAATGGGAAACTACATCTCTATTACAAGGTAATGTCTGTTTCTCTTTGTCTTTGCCTGGGTGCCCTAGTCTCCAGTGCCAGAGGTGAAAATTTTGTGGCTGAAAGTTGTAGGTAAAAGCTGCTTGAGGGGTAGAAAGAAGAGTTGCATGGGCCTTGGTATGCAATTGGTATAGCCCTCTATTCTGTCTTGCCAAACCAGTCCTTTTCTGGGTCACCAGGTCCTGAATTTGACAAGCATCAGATTCAAAGTGTAGTGAGATAGGTTGATCATTTGTAAGTTTGCTAACTGAAATGAGGTTGAAGGTAAAACTTGGCACAAGGAGAACATTGTCTAAGGTAAGGTCTGGGGATAAATTAACCTTTCCTATGTGACTAACTATAACCTTAGTCCCATTAGGTAAATAGACAAATTGATCTTTAACTGCTGTGGCTTCAGCAAACAATGCAATATTGCAAGCAATGTGATCAGATGCCCCAGTGTCCAGGATCCAAGTATGAGCAAGGTGTTCTGACTTGTGTTGCATAAAAGATGAGAGTATGAACTTACCAGCATGATTAGGGAATTGAGACATGCTATGAGCAACAGAGAAAGCCAGGTGGTTAACTGAAGGTGATGCTGGTGGTGATGGACTAGGAGATGGAACTGACTGCAACATATACCTCAGCTTGTTGAGCTCGTCAGGTGAGAAATGAAGGGCATCCTTTGAGGAAACACTTCTAGAGTCTGAGCTGTGTTTTGACTCTGAACCAGTTGAATCTCCCTCATTGGATTGCTCTCCTTGAGAGACAGCAGCAGCTACCCCTCCAGCCATCCTTAGTTTTTTGTTTTTCAGCTTCCAGCACTCTTCCTTAACATGACCATCTTTCTTGCAGTAGCGACAGAACTTTTTCTCATCTGAATTGTCTCCTGACACAGCCAAAGCAACTGTTTGAACACCCCTGGTAATGCCCTTGTCTGCCTTCAGTTTCTGTTCATGCTGCAGTACATCATTAATTGCTACCTCTACTGTTGGCAAAGGCTTCATCATCAGAATTTGAGTATGGACTACATCAAACTCAGGGCGAAGACCTTTCAAGAACCTGATGAGGTAGTCTGTTTCCTGCTTCTGCTTGAAAGCCTCAACTGCAGCACAAGGTTGAGTCCTTTGAGGAGCACAATTACAGTCCACAATTGGGTTGAACTGCAAATGTTCCTCCCACAGACCCTTCAAAGCAGTGTAGTATTGGGTAACATTCATAGTTCCTTGTTTGCAAGCAATAATTTGATCACCCAGATTAGACAGTTTAATAGCATTAGCATACCCAAAACGAGCCTTAAGCTCTTCCCATAGGGTTTGAGCAACATCATGTTGCATAACACTTCTCCTTATCTCCTTGTCCACAGAATTCAAAATCCAGCACAGTACAAGAGTGTTACAGGCATCCCAAGTACTGTAATTAGGGTTTCCAATTCCTGGTGAAACGATAGACCCATCGATGAAACCAATTTTGTGTTTGGTTTTGAGGGCCATTCTCATGGCTCGCTGCCACATTTGGTAGTTGGGACCGTCCAGAACTTCAGAGACTATAGCTTGAGAAATGTTCTCATTAGGATTGATGTAAAAGGGGTTACCGAATTGGGGATCTGAGCGCTCGTTGTTGTTGGTTCCACCTGCTACACCTGAGCTCATTCCAGAAAAGGAGCCGAAAGGAATGCCTCCAGGGGTGCCAGGCGGAGTATTGTTGTGAGTCGCCATGGAAGGTTACTGGACCAGTAACCGCTCTGATACCATATCAAACTAGCTGAGCTAGGGTTAAGAATAGGAAGAAGAATGCGGCACAGAAATGGGGAACGCGCAAGAGAATCGTTGTTCTCTGCATTTGATTTATATATCAATCTGAACTGTGTTCTTCACGTTACAAACTCAGGGGAAAATAAAATGAAAACAGAAATTCAAATTGACTGTAAAGTAAATGACAATTGTCTTCTCTCCATTGGCAACGGTAACAGTCCACTCAACGGTAAAATCCGAGACTCCACAATGACGCCGCTTTGCCTCTTCGTTTAAGTTGAGTGGAGGGAACCCAGAAACGTTTCGTTTCTGGGTGAGGTTTCGTCTTCGTTCAATCCTGCACAGTCTTCATTTCTTCAGACTTCTTCACTTCTGCAAGAAGTTTGGAGAAAAGGGCAGAATCAACAACAAGCAGCAAGCAAACAAGGTTTAGTGTTTCCCCAACCAAGTTTATAGCTCATCACCATTCCTATCATCATTCATCTTTTACCATACGACTCCTACCTTTCTTTAACCAAGCCAATGTTGCTAAAAGAAAGATAATCAACTTCCTCACAAAAACAGAACCATTCGCCAATCACAATAGAAATTCCATGAATTTCCATATTCAACTGAACATAAGAACTTGCTTCTTGATTTAAACCCACTATACAACACACTACCCACTCCTAAAGAGACGGCAGCAGCAGAATATAAGGGAGAAGAGGAGCAGAAGGTGGCAAGGAAAAGCAGCTATGCCCCCAATTGACCGAATACCTTAAAAGGAATCAAGTGAAATCAACCCCAAACAATCGATTTTCGATCTGCTTTCTTTTAAAGTACTTTTATCATTATCATGCACAATTGTTATATCTTGCCATTCAATAAATCTATATCTAGTTTTCGTTTAAGTTAACTTGTTTTCCATCAATTGTTATCATATACTATTCTTACTGATTTATCAATACATACATATGCAAAGCACAACCAAAATCATCATAAACCTACCTTGAATACCCATAGATTTTCCACCCACAGACCAAGATAAACACACAGATTTCCAGATTCAACCACCACAAATCTCATAGATATTTTGAAATTACCACCAATTCCATAATTCAATTATCCCCAAGTTCCGTGTCGATCATAGCCGAATCCCAACTCAAAGCTCAAGCATCCAAATCAACCATAAATAAAAAGGATATAAAGCTCCTAATAATCTCAAGCAATAGCAGTGATTTTAGGTAGCTATCAAGTTTCTTTACTCCCATCATTTCAACACAATCTGGGTTTTCAAATCACCACAAAACAAAACTTCCAATAAGAACTAGAATCACACTCACGATTTTTAGCTTCAAAACCTTCCTGTTCAAAATTCCAGATTGGCAAAATACCCCCATATTAACCCCAAAAGAAAACTCTTACCTATGATGCCATCGACTGTCATTGTTCGCCTTCGCCACCGGCGAAACTCGAGGCCAACGCCAGTGGCCCCTTTTCTTCTAGCCTCCTTGTCCAGAAACCTTAGATCAAAACCCAGAAAGAAGAAACGTCGGAACCTCAAAATAGCCTTGAAACTACTCAAAACAAATGAAAATTAGAAGGCAGAGCTTACCCTCGGCATTTCACCCAGCCACCGCCGTTTGAACTCGACCACGGCGTTTTTCTACGTCGCCGCCATTTTAAAAAAACCCGTCCCTGCATGTTTGAGCTAGCCATCTGCGCTTTCTCCTCGCTCATACCTGCTTTAAAATCAAGCAAAAATAAAAGAAGAGGAATGAGAAACCCTAGATCGAACCAAAAATAAGAACTCACAAAAAACCCAGAAATCAGAAAAGAGACATACATCAGACACTCGCTCAAAAATCAAAATCCAACCAAAATCGAACAAAAATCCTCACAACCCCAAAAGAGACTTATCTCTGACCTTCCTCATCGACATCATCAACGACGGCGTTAACTGCCGCAGTCCTCGTTGCTGGCGTTGTCTTTCCCTTTCTACTTTAGCTCCCAGAAAGAGAGAAGAATGCAGATAGAGGGTCCAAGATAGGTTCAGTAACCTCATCAGTAACCACACGGGAGCCGTAGGATTGGGAATGGAGCAATCGTGTGGCTGGGCTGGATGTGGGGTGGGGAGGGGCATTTTTGTCCGTTTTCGTATTTTTAATTTTTATTATTCATTCCGCATTTCAATGGCTGACTTTTCAATAAAAGAGAGACAATGCATTTTCTCTGCAACTCAACTTTCTTCCTTCTCTCTTCTTTTCTTTCAATCTCTTTCCAGATCTTTTCTTTCACTATTCCTTCTCTCTTACTTTTTTTTTCACAATCTCCTTTTCAAATTTAGATCTGCTCTCTTCCTTCTTCATTTTTTTCTCTAGCAATCGACGAATAAAAATTGTAGCCACTCTCTTTCTTTGCATTTCTTCTCTTCATCAACTCGTTGGCCTCAATTCTGATCTTTCTCATTTTTTTGGCATTTTGGTGTTCTTGATTGAGGAAGAGGAAATGAGAGGCATCAGAAAACGATTTTTTCTCTCCCTCCTTCTGTTTTTTTTTCCTTTTAGATAATATATATTGATATTATGACTCTATACCATATGGTATTGGGTGGTAACGAAATATATATTGATATTACCACACTATACCCTATGGTAATGTATGGTATTGCGTGGTAACGAAATATATATTGATATTACCACTCTATACCATATGGTATTGTGTGGTAACGAAATATATATTGATATTACCACACTATACCATATGGTATTGGGTGGTAACGAAATATATATTGATATTACCACACTATACCATATGGTATTGGGTGGTAACGAAATATATATTGATATTACCACACTATACCCTATGGTAATGTATGGTATTGCGTGGTAACGAAATATATATTGATATTACCACTCTATACCATATGGTATTGTGTGATATTACCACACTATACCATATGGTATTGGGTGGTAACGAAATATATATTGCTATTACCACACTATACCATATGGTATTGGGTGGTAACGAAATATATATTGATATTACCACACTATACCATATGGTATAGACTGGTAACAACTGGAAAAAAATTTGTGTCAAAAAAATATCAAAGTGGATATCATTTTGAAGAGCATAATTAATCTGATCTAACTGTGCAAAAAAAATTAAATTTCGACTTAAAACGAGTGAGAAATCGTCCATTAAAGATTAAGAGAAGGAAAATTAAAGGTTTTTCTATAAGAGAGAAGGAGGTCCTGATGTGGTCGGTCAAAAGTCAGCGCGTCAGCAATAAATATGGGATAAGTACATTTTACCTTACTGATGGGTTACTCACCCGATCTGCTCCCCAGATAGAAAAGGACGGGAGAGAGCGAAAATGGAAGGGTTTGTTTTTCTTTCTTTTTGCTTTGCTCGATTCAGAGAGAATGAAGAAGGAGGATGAGTGAAGTCAAGGAAGAGCAGAGCAGAGCGTCGATATGGATATGGCTAGGACTAGAAATTGAAGATTAGGGTTTCGATTATGCCTGAAGAGAGGATTATATACCCTCTCGTAAATGACATATTTATCCCTCGATTGTTCTTAAAACTAACCGTTGCCATTTCCTCTTCCAGAAAACGAAAATCACCAAACAAATATTAAAAAAATCTCTTAAATGACATATTTATCCCTCGATTGTTCTTAATAGGCTTGGCAATGGGCCCGCGGACTTTGGATATCCGTCGGGGCCCGCCCGCCAGTATTGGGCTTAAACCCGCGAGGCCGGTGAGATTCGCGGTTGCGGGCAAACCCGCGACCCGTCGTACGCGGTGTTGGGCTGGGCACGGATTCTGGGATCCCCGGCCCGTATCCGCCCCGATAGCAAACGACGTCATTTGCTGCACATATATAATGCCTCATTTTTGGGGTTAGGGTTTGTGGACAGTCCATTTTCATCAAACGCCGACCTTGTATCCCCGATTTCCTCTCAACCCATCCGAGGCGATATCGCCGATTTCCTCCCCAAATCCCTTCGATTCCGCCGACTTCTCCTTCTTCCCGACTATTCTCCCTCGCAAATCGACGATCCCATCATTCATAACACTACATCTTATTGTAAATCAACCCTCCAAACTCCGAAAATGTCTCAATCGATAGAAATCTTCTCTGAATCGTGCATGCAAAGGATTTCTTTCCTAGATCGAGATAAGTATTTAGTTCTTTATTACCTTATTCCAATTTTGATCATAGACTTATAAATAGGTGACTAACTTCGACATTTTGTTCATATGCAGTTCATCGAACCCAAAATCCAGAAACCCTAGCCTTCCAGATTTCGGAACCCTACTTTGCTGCGTTCTCAGTAAGTTTGTTAGACATTAGTTAGTTTCATTAATTGATGTTGGTGCATGCTTAGTTCGACAAAATCAATAAATCCCTAATCATCCAAATTTCATCTTTTGTTTTTGTAGCTTACTATTCGGGAGTCGCATCTCGCAACTGGTTCTTCCACTGCTTTCTGCCGATGTAAATCGCCATTCCTTGTTTGATGGTTCTTGGTTGTTGATGTCTGTTTTTGGTGCATGCATTAGATAATTGTAGACTAATCACCTTTGAAGTAACCATCGTATACTACTGATCAATTTGATTATGCTCCATTAAAACTAAGAACTGAATGTGTCTGCTAAATGTTAATGGTTAGTGTGATTCTGTTCTTGGAAAATGTCACTGTTGTAAGTAGTTTATGTTATGGTTAAAGGTAATGGTCAATGTGATTCTATTGTACCTAAGTTCAACAGACTGTAATGTTAATGTTCACTTTGTTGCTGCTAATTCATAAAACTGTATCAACTATAGATTATCTAATGAACCCAAATGTAAACTCTAAATCATCTAATGAACCCAAATTACAACTAATTATCACTTTGTTGTAAGTTAGTAAGTAGTCTATGTAATGGTTTAACCATTATCTTGTGTAATGCTTATCGAATCCAGTTTGTGAGAGGATTCAATCATCATTACATAATATACTTGGTTAATCCTAAAACTATATAAAGTATAAACTCTAAATTATCTAATGCAGTAAATGCACCCAAACTATCTAATCGTAAAACAGTAAAACTATCTAAATTATCATTACAGAATAGACTTGATTCAATCATCAAATTGTTTAACCATGATCTTCTGTAATGTTGATCGAATCCAGATTGTGAGAGGATCCAATCAACATTACAGAATAGACTTTGGTTCATCATTCTCCTTTTTTATCTAATCTCTAATGGTCTAATCATTGAATTTTGATTCATTAGAACGACATTGGAATTCATTTTGAAACGTTTCTTTTATTTTTGTTTCTTACCCAGATGGAACCTGAACAAGTTGAGAATGCACCAATTCAGAATAACAATGGAAACCAACCTGGTAATTCTGAAACCTTACTGAAGATGCTCTTCCCCAAAATCCCTTAGGTGCTAGTAGGTGCTTAAAGTCTGATGTGTGGCCTCACTTCACCAGACTGATAATTAATGGGGTTTTGAAAACAAAATGCAACTATTGTAAGAAGATTTTGGCTGGAAAATCGAGTAATGGTACCTCCTATCTTAGGACTCATAGGAACCATTGTGTTCATAAAACAATTCATGATGGTAGTCAAAAGGTCCTTGGGGCTGACTATAGTGCCAAGGGAACAGCTGATCTGAGTACGAATCAGTTTAGTAGTGAGGTTTCTAGAAAGAAGCTCTGCACCATGATCTTGGTGCATGAGTATCCCCTTTCTATTGTGGACCACCTTTATTTCAAAAGGTTTTGTTGCACCTTGAACCCTCTCTTCAAAGTTCCAACCCGAAATACCATAAAGAAGGATATAGTTACTATATATGGTTTAGAGAGGGCTAAGATTCAAAAGGTCCTTAATGAAAACCGAGGTCGTATAGCTTTCACAACTGACATGTGGACTGCCACAAACCAAAAAAGGTCTTACATGGATGTCACTGCCCATTATATAGACAACTTTTGGAAGTTGCGAAACCATCTGCTTATGTTTGGATATTTCCCTGCCCCCCCACACTAGTGAGAGGATGGCTGCAAAGCTAGCTCAATGCCTCCGATCTTGGAACATTGATAGTACATTGTCAACTATTACTCTTGACAATTGTACTACCAATGATTCCATGATAAATCTAATTAAACAAAGGCTAGTGTTATCGAATCTAATTAGGGATGGCACACTTCTTCATATGAGGTGCTTTGCTCACATCCTTAATCTGATTGTGAGGGATGGACTCGATGTATTGAAAGATGGTATTGAGAAAATAAGGGAGAGTGTGGTCTTTTGGACCTGCACTCCCAGGAGAGTGGAGTTTTTCCATGCAACTGCCCAACAACTCAAATTATCTGTTTCTAAGAAGTTGGTATTGGATTGTCCCACTCGTTGAAATTCCACATACGAAATGCTTTCTTGTGCTATCCCGTATAAGGAAGTGTTCTCTATACAGAAAATAAGAGAGCCTCAATATAATTCTCTGCCTACCAACGAGCAGTGGGACTTTGCTGCTGTTTTGGTTGACAAGCTTGATGTTTTCAAGTACATCACTTTAATTTTTTCTAGTTCAAACTACCCAACAACGAATCAGTTTTTTGCTAAAGTGTGTGATTTGAGGTTAAAGTTGATGGAATGGTTAAGTGATCCTAATCTGCTGATTGTTTCTATGGCTGCGAATATGTGGAATAAGTTTGTGAAGTATTGGGATGACATTCATTTAATGTTGGCTGTTGCTGTTGTATTGGATCCACGGTATAAATTGGAACTGGTTGATTACTATGCTGGAAAATTCGGTATCACTAATACTGATCTAGTGAGTGAAAGGGTCAGATCAGTTATGGCCGAATTGATTGTTGAGTATCAAAGAAAAGCCACCAAAAACACTGATGCATCTTCTGCTGTTCATCCTTCTTCTTCGGCTACAGATCTGGATTTTGATCTGTATGTTAGCCAAAGAAAGAAAACCAAAATTTCTGCAGTAACCACAGAGTTAGATCATTATCTAGCTGAGGATGTTCATCCTAGAACACCAGATTTTGATGTGTTGGGTTGGTGGAAATTCAACGGTGCCAAGTATCCCATTTTGCAAGAGATTGCAAGGGACTTACTTGCTGTACCTGTTACTAGTGTGGCATCTGAGTCTGCCTTCAGTTCTGGTGGGAGGCTTCTTGATCCTCATCGGAGCAGACTCGATCCTGCAACAATAGAAGCCATGATGATATTAAGGACTTGGATTCAAGATGATAGCAAAGGTGATTTTTAGTTCAATTATGAATTATGTTTACTTTGCTATTGTTTCATTTTCTCGCTAATTAAACTGTTTACTTGAATCTTGCTATTGCTCCTAGTGTCTGCTGCTGAATTGAAAGCATTGGATAGAGTTTTCTCTGCTAAGGCAATGGATGATGCCACGGTGGAAGAGAGCACAGGTAATAAACTTCTCTTATTGTAATTTGTTTATTCAGTTCGCCTAGGAATTTTACTAAACAGACTGTTATGTTTCAGATGGAGCTGGAATGCAAAAGGAGCTGGAAGGAGATGAAGACGAGGTTGCTGCAATCAACCTGCTCGACTAGCTATTGGTGTTTGTAAGTGTGTTCTGTTTCTTTTTTTTACTGTTAAAGCTTTGCTACTGCTGGAATTTTACTAAAGCCTTGTAGAACATAGTAATCTGAAGTTGTAAATGTTGTTGGAATTCAGGAAATCTTAATCTAATTGAAAGAAGATGCAAGGACGAGAAAGAGAGACTTAGGAGTGAAGATTCAACACTGATTGTTGCTCTTCAGAATGGCTTCTGTTTTTGTTTTTTGTGTTTCAATCTTTCAGACTCGAAGTGTTATTTCAGAAGTTTGTTAGCTGAGATTTTTTTACACTATGTGGGTTTCAATTCTGGGTTTGAGTGATTGTTATTTTTGGGTTTATTTATGGTCAGATTGTTGATTTTGAGTCAGGTTCCTAGGTTTGCAGACTGCAGTTCATGGTTGTTTGTTAGCTGGGATGTTTTTACACTCTGACTCTGTGGGTTTCAATTCTGGGTTTGAGTGATTGTTATTTTTGGGTTTATTTATGGTCAGATTGTTGGTTTTGAGTAAGGTTTCTGGGTTTGCAGTTCATAATTTCTTGTTGAATGTTATAAGAACTTGGTTTTCAGAATTTTGAGGTAATGCTTAGGGAATGAATTGAAATTGGTTGCCTTCTATTTTTGGACAGGTCACGGGTAACCATTGACCCGTGGGTTCACCGATACCCGTTTCGTCTTGGGCTTGGTCCAAAGTTTTTTCCCATTAAGGTTAATGGGGCGGGTCCGAGTTTTACCCGCGGGCATATATAGCGGGCAATGGATATGGGGTACCCACCCCATATCCGACCCATTGCCAAGCCTAGTTCTTAAAACTAACCGTTGCCATTTCCTCTTCCAGAAAACGAAAATCACCAAAAAATTTTTTTTAAAAATCTTGCACTGAGGTTCGAACCATCAACCACCTTCTCAAAAATTGTGAAACCTAACAACTTGAACCACTAGACTGTTCACCTGCCAATTGCAATCTTCTGAATCTCATTGGGTTTTAACTTCAATATTCTTAATACATAAAATTAGGATTAATTCAATTACTCCTACACCTAAATGGTATCTACCCTTCAATCATTGTGAGATAGTTGATTTTTGCTATGTCCAAATACATATTTTTCCTAAACAACTCTTATAAAAAAATCATGGTAAATAGACCACGATAGTCGTTCACTGTAAAACCCTTTCAAAAGGTCATTTATCACTCAATCTCTAAATTGAAACATCATAAATACAGTTTGTAACAACTCAATTATCATCTTAACCACGATCAATACAACGTGTTATGATCACTTCAAAATCCAACATTTTAAAACCTACCAATTCACCGAACTACGTGGACTTTGATCCCGACTACTTGGGTACGTAGGCAACCAATGGGTTCGAGTCCAACTAATAATTTTCCTCCACATTGCTAATGGGTGAGACTCGCATTTTAAATCATTAAACATAACCGAACTACGTGGACTTTGATCCCGACTACTCGGATACGTAGGCAACCAATAGGTTTCAAGCCGACTAACAAATGTTCTTCACATTTCAATTTGTGAGACTCAACATTTTTAAAACCTCTCAATTACAACCGAACTACGTGGATTTTGATCCCGACTACTCAGGTACGTAAGCAACCAATAGATTCGAGTCCGACTAACAAATTTTCTACCCTTAAAATCATAAATACCAAATTACATCTCTTAAATGAGAAAATCAATTTTTGATCTTAATCACGTATCAAGAGCAAGCGTTCCCTATTTTCTTCCGGCGGTTCTTAGAGCGGGACTCCTCTCCAGTGAGAGTGGTTCGTCTTGTTTGTCTTCTCTGGCGGATTTGGAAGTCTAGAAATTTGGTGGCCTTTGAGGGACAGCAAGACATTTTCTCAGTGCTGGAAAGGCAATTCAGATTTCAGGTTCAGGAATGGATGGATAGTTTGCCCCCGGTTAGTGGGAGAGTAACTGCTCCAGCAGTGCAGGTGGTTGAGCCGGGTGTAGTGCCGGGTGTTTACAGGTGCGCCTTTGATGGGGCGATTTCTAATGGTCGCATGGCTCCGTTGGGATTGTCCTGCAGGATGAGGCTGGTGGGATTCTAATGGCACGGGGGTTGTGTATCACCAGTATGGTTGATCCGATGTTGGTGGAGGCAATGGCTCTTAGAGATGCGCTGTGCTGGTGTGCAGAGGCTGGTCTGTCGGCAGTTCAGTTTGTTGGTGATGCGAAGGTGGTGATCGACAAAGCTAACGCAGGGACCAGTAGGGATGCGAAAGGCGGGGCTATATTCCAGGAAATCTGTCGGCTGCTGGGAGCTAATGTTGGGTTTAGAGTGATGTTTGTAGGTAGACAGAACAATAGGGTGGCCCATTTGGTGGCCAAAAAAGCCCTCGATTTGTTTCCTATGGGAAGTATTGGTTTTGATTTTCGAGCATGGTTGTGCTCGGAAATTGGTTTGATGTAACTTTTTGTCTTGGTAATGCAAGTATCTTTTCGACAAAAAAAAAACCTATCAACTTATCGAACTACGTGGACTTTGATCCCGACTAATCGGGTACTTAGACAACCAATAAATTCGAGTCCAACTAATTAAAATTCTTTCTTTAATTTTGAGAATTACGTCAATAGACGTATGATCAAATCGTAACATTAGATACCTAATTAAAAAAATAATTAAATATACAAATAAAGCAAAATACTAATTCACCCAACTCTTAAAAAAACTTATTGATTTGAGTAGTACCAATTTCGGGCGTTGTGGAGTGTGAATACACTTCCCCACAAGTAACCGTACTCCCAAATCCAGAACTTCAAAATTCGAAGACCAAATTCCAATTTCGACCCTAATGTCGAGACTGGACCAAAAGGTATTCGATCCACCACAATTAAGATCGATGGCGATTTCGAGCTTCACGCAACAGATCCCTCGATCGCGAGGGGTGGTTGCGACAATAGAGACTAACAGAACACTCCTTTATATATTAAATTCTTTGTATAAAGCATCTTGTTGCATCAGGAGATGGTCAAGACTAGATCTAGATTTTATTTGCTTCTAAGTTCTGATTCCCGATGGTTAATCTTGTGCAGATGCTTAAGAATCAAAATGAAGCTCATTCTCCATCAGGTAATATATATTTCGACCACTGCTGATAGTCTTTTGTAGGTAATTCTCCATTTATATTAAGCAGTCTGATCTTAGTTCCAAAAACTTCGACGGCTTTTCCCTTATTAAGAGTCAGTGGTATATCTACAGGAGAGTGTTGAGGGAGGAGGGGCTCTAAAACTACCATTCATTTCGCAACTTGTCAATGGAATAGTGAAGGGTAGTGTGTAACATGACAGGGTTGGGTCGTTTTCCCATATCAACAAAATATATAAAGGCAAAACATGAGTTTGAATTCTCCTATTTTAAACTAGCTTATAACCCGGCCCTTTGGCCGGAATGCTCATATTTGATTATTTGTATTTTTATGTTACTTTTAAGTCTATTAACCCGTTTAATCTTATTGATAATCATTCGATCGAGATGATACATAAAAAAATAATATATAGGTCGAACATTCGGAGAAATATCATAATCATTTAAGAATATAAAATATAAAAATGTATCATTGACCCCATTTTCATAATGTTAATTAAGTCCCTGTTAAAATGCTATTGGTTAGTTTTTTTTCACAGTCAAGAAATATAGAGTATAAAAGCTCACTGAAATTCTCACACAACCATAGATAGTTTGAAACTAAATCTTAAACCTCACAATCCTATATAAAGGGTTCAATGCTCTCCTTTTAGAAACAATGTCACTAATCAAAAAGAAATGGAGAGTTGTTGATTCAAGTCATATATATACTAAAAACTCAGCTAAGAGGGGACCATCACAACTTGAGAGCAAACGAAAAAATCAGGGTTACTCCAATATACGAATAGACTCGATCAAAGTAATAAGGCGCAAAATTAGACACTCCTTATCTATTAGTTCCAGTAGGTTGAATAAAGAAGCGACCTATTTCAAACAATCAATCAATAATTCCTCGTTTTAAGATAGAAATAGGTTGTGACAATTGCAAAAACCATAAACCTAAAGATCCAATAGCCACAACTCTCCGTTGTATAACCATATTTCTATCTCAAGAGGCATTTATTCAACCAAAAATTCAATTTCTAATCCTCCTTCTACAACTTCAGTTATTGATGAACTCCATTCTATTCGCCATGAATTGATATCGGAGTTGAAATCTTCTACTCGCCCAGCTTAAAATCCCCAACAATAAAACCGTAGTGCCAAGAGATACGTGAAGATTGATTTTCAATGACAGTCTTGTACTGGGAAGTGAAAGGCGCAAACTATTGCACGATGGATGAAATTTCGGAGGAAGTTAGAAAGAAAAGAACAAAGATAAAAAAAACACAAAATTTAAATTTAAATTGAAAAATGCAAGGATACAACACGTAGTTACATAATTAGTTTCTTCCATGTTAGCAATTACCCATTTACCTTTAGCAAAAATTAAGGAGAGAGCGGGAATTTAAAATTGAGAAAATTACATGAAACTCTACTATGAAAATAGAAGTATCAAGCTCGATAAAAATACATACGGTAGACTTAGTGAGCTTGCTAATTATGATGAAAAAGTCCTCTGATTCTCAGAGATTAGCTTTGTCTATTTTTTTGTATAAAAAAGGATGCACTAAATTTGTTTAGTGTAACTGGTTGTGATTGTTATCTTTGTTTGAAGAGACCCGGGTTCAAATCTTGATATTGCTATTTTTATATGAAATAAATAATAAATGTGTAAAGACAAAAATGACCTTCCTACTTTCAGTCTCGTTGTAGGAAATTTGAAATGGAGAAAAATACACAAAACTCTACCATATATTAATGGAGGATTTTGTGACTTGAGATTGATTCTAATAAGGTCATTTTTGTCATTGCACCTAATTCATTTTTATATATAAAAGTGTTGTCATTGGAGATCGAACCTTGATCACTTAAATGAAGAAAGATCATTATAACAAATTAGACTACATTGTATTTATTGTTATTTATTTAATTAAACACTACGAATATGTTTGATGATGATACTTCTACATTTATATTTTATCTTTTTATTTATATCTACAACATACATAAAGCCAAAACATGGGTTCACTTTTTAGAGTTTTGAAATTGTATCCAGGGTTTCACGGAGGGGCATGGTTGTCAATTTATCTCACTTTAATTGAAACTCTGCGTTTTATAGAGATCCTTCCACTGGACCTTATAACTTCTGAATGGGCCAGACTTGGAGGTCACCCGATGGGCCCAAACTACCCTGCCTAGTGCCTATTGTAGCTGCAGAAAGCCCTCGCCACACGTGCACAACATAACGACGCCATATTGGCCAAGTTTGCCGACAAAAACCCTTTCCGTGTCGTCTTCGGTCTGCAGCGTCGCCATCCCCAGCCCCTGAAATTTTCCTTTTACTCTGTCAAACGCTTCAAACTCCCCGCAATTGAAGAACTGCAAAAGCAGAAGCTTGAAACGCCCTACAAGGTAACATGTATGTCCATTTTCTATCAACCCATTATTATTCTATTATCACCCTGCAAGGTTCATGGAGTAGCGCTACGGTATCGGTGTTGTGAAGTCACTGCTTTGACTTGGACATCATGCCCATGGAATTAGTAATTTGACCATGTAGTTTTTTTGGTTGTCAATTCGTTTAACATTGCTCCTGCACTACTAATTATACTTTTTACTGCGTCTCATGGTCAAGGGTGAATGCAACTTCAACTATGAGCGAAAATCAACATAAGTGGGCCCTCTTCATTAGGAGTGAGTAGTCGTCAAATTCTTCGTTCAAGGGGACAATGTAAATGTTTTGTTTGTAAACATGTATATTTGCAGTGATCAGACGTAAACCTTGTTAATAAACCAGGGACCAAACTTGTCATTAACCCGTTTGTTTTCTTTATTTCGGAAAACCTCAAATTTTAAGCCCACGCATCATGGGCCGAACCAAGCCACAATAAAACCACATTTCACAAAGATGAATAGAGAGACCTGTGGAAGTTAATTCTGAGCAGCTCAAATGGCTTCCAAGCTACTTTCCCTCCGACGACTCTACAGGCTTCGAAACCCTCACTTTCCTTCTTCTTTGCCTTCTTCACGTATCCTGCTTCTGCGAGCTTCGGATCCTCGCTGTTCTCGATTCGGCTTCACATTCGCTGCTGTTTCAGCTTCTTCCAGGAGTTTCTGCTCCAGCTCCTCCGCTACCGACGTCCACGGCCCCGCCGCCATAGACTACCGGTATGTCTCCGCAAAGTGGCGAGTTCTGGCTAGCTTTAATTGGTTCATTACCGTGTATCTTGCTTAAGGCGGAAATGGGTTGTTCTAGCTGATAGTGATTAATGTGGAAACAGCTCTCTTCTGCAGGAAAATGAATTTCACGAGCTAGCTGATACGACTATTCATGACCTTCAAGAGAAATTGGAGGTAAAGAGCAAATGGGGGTAGGGGGGATTCACTTCCATTTGCATGATTTCTTCGAAATTTGGTCTTCAAGTTTGGTTATTCTGGCGTTTTGCAGGAATATGGGGATACAGTGCAAGTAGATGGATTTGATATAGACTACGGGGTAAGACTGATTCAGCAATGGGTTTTCTGAAGTGTTGTTTGAGAATTTGTTATGTTCTGAAAGAGTGGCTTGTATATTTGGTAGAATGAGGTTCTGACACTGAAGCTAGGGGAGCTAGGCACCTATGTATTGAACAAACAAACTCCCAATAGGCAACTTTGGCTGTCTTCCCCTCTGAGGTATGAGCAATGTTTCTTTCTGTTGTCTTGGATTTATGAGTTCATTCTTTATGAACTACTCTTTCTCGGAAACATGGCAAAGATGGCTGTAGCTTTTTCAAAGTAGCATAAATAGTGGAAAGCAAATCATGGATTTCAAAGTATATGAAAGCTTGAATAACCAGGGTAATGATATACAAGAACGAAAGCAGTTCATGAGACCATCTCACCCTGACCTTGCAGTTAAAGTTATGATTTCTTTCTGTTGTGTTATCTGTTATAGATAATATTCTACACAGATGCCACCTTTAGTTGAACGGTCTGGTAAATTGGTCAAGGCTGACGAAGATTTGAGTTTGGCATAGAAGCATAAACTCATACAGATGTCTCCAGATATGCATTGGTTCCATCACATAGTGAATTCAATATGGACTTCGTGAAGTTTAATCGTTTCACAGTTGCTTAACGTTGGACTTAATTTTAACGTGTGTCTACTGATTGAAGTTATGTGACTTCTCAGAATCAAGAAAGTAAAAACCTTGTTTACAGTTGTGGTCCTTTTTCTCTACCCAAGCATAGGAGAACTAGGGAAGATACTTCTGTGCTTCCTTAGTGGCCATGAGTGGAAAGTTTGGGAACGGTAATAGCTTTAGTTGGTGCATTACTCAACACAACATTGATTTTGGACAAACTAGAGCATCTTTCGTTTCTGCGTCCTTTGCTAACTAGTTGCCCTCTTACTTTGTCTATGTATCCGACATCCCATATGCAACTCATGGTATGTTGGGGAGTTTCTTCAGGCTAAAAACTTCACCCTGTTTCTTCAACTAATGCTCAACATTGTGGTTCTTATGCAGTGGTCCATCGAGGTTTGACTGGGATAGGGATGCTCAAGCCTGGATTTATCGAAGAACCAAGTCAAACTTGATTGAAGTTTTGGAAAGTGAGCTAAAGCAGTTGTGTGGTGAACCCATCAAGCTTACTACTACATAAACTAGTGGTTAGAACAAGACCTCGCTAATGTGTCACCCTCGTATTATGCACTGTTATGAAGCAAGCCATTTAGTATCCTCTATAGTTTTGCTTCCAAGGTTGTGCAAACCAATTTTGCTATGGTGCTCACATTGTTAAATTGAAGGCCACATCTATTAGTTGATTAGGAGGGTTAAGATTTGTTTTTTTTTTATATGAATCGGTAGGGTTCTTATTCATCAACAAGGGGTGGCGCTAGCAACAGCCTTGCTAGCTAGGCTTAGCCAACCAGATGGTGGAGAAAAACTTTTCTAAATGCAGTTCTAACTCGGTGACAACTCAGTACACATTCTACCTTTGCCTTAATCAACTTCAGTAAGGTGGGAAGATCTCGTGCATCACCCGCATACAAACGACGACATCTCTCACACCATATATGGCTCACCCACGCATGCTAGATAATCCTCCCTATTTTAGGAGCCTCTGTCATGACACCCAATTTTGAAATCAATAGATCCAACTCGTCTTCCCAGCTCTGCCACATGGATAGCTGCAGAAACCTGCAAAAGAGAGAATCAAACAGTTGCCTCGAGAATGGACAGTGCACATAAATTTGATCTCTGTCCTCAACCACTGCATTACACAGACAACAGATCATGCTTCCCATGAAGCTCGATTTCTGCATCTTTACCTTAGTATTGATGCCCCTGACAACCAACCAAGTAATAACACGATTTCGAGGAATTGACTTGCCTTTCCAAACAAGTTTCCACCAAGATACAGTCTGCTGAACAGGGCGAATAAGGTTCCAGACTTGTTTAATAAAGAAGCAACGCATTGGAGAATCATTCAAGAGAAGCAGACCCCTGTACCGAGATGAGTGATTCCACTCTCCTTTGTAGCTTCAGCATTTTATGCCAATTCCAGGACCCAGATGTGCAGGTGTAAGTCCAAAAGTCTACCTTTCAATTTATACCTATTGATCCCCGCCACGCAGAGTGATCCTTCTTGCAGAAGAATCAACCAAATATGCCTAGTCATACAGGCATGGTTCCAACTCAATAGGTCCCTAAACCCAATGTTGTCAGAACCGAGGCGGAGTATGACCGGTAATGTGATTGGTCCGCACTTTATTGGTCTAATCGATATTGGACTGCTACCTTATAAACAATAATATCATAAGTAAAAGACATATAGGTAGTAATTTAACAATTTAATGACAAATGAAATTTATTTTGTAGGTACCATTTAACAAGTTTATCATTTATATATATAGCAAAAAGTAAACCCTAGTCTCACCCAACCCACCCTTAGCGCCGCTCAACGCTCACCCCTCTCTCCGTCTTCCAATTTCTTCCATCTCTCTCTCTCTCATTCCAAAACACTCGATCTGCTTCTCTCACCGACGACAATGAAGGGATGGGGCGAGCACTGTCGCCGTCGGGAGGGACCTCCACTGCCATTCTTCCATTGTCGGAAGTTGGGTGGGAGGAGAAGGATTTTGATGGCGCTGGCGAAAGCCTAGAAGGTGATGGGTTCGCCGGCAGCTGGTGGGTAATCGGGAAATTGCCCCACTCGGCGAGAATGAAACCAAATTTTTTTTGTTCAATTTTTTTTATAATTCCAGACGGTTAGAAACCAAAAACCGGTCGGACGGTTCAAGCTGCTTGAATAGTTAACCATTTCGGCCGCTAAAAATCTGCCTTCCTCACCATTGTGATTGTTAGAAGGTTCCGAACCGAGCTGATGTCCGAGTGCCAGTTTTACCGGTCCGACCAACCGGCTCGGGTCGGCTTTAACAACAGTGCCTAAACCCAAGTCCTCCTTCTTTCTTCGGATAAGTCACCTTCTGCCATACCACATTAGTCCTGAGCTTCACACCAACTTCAACACCCCATATAAAGCTATATAACAGACTTAGGCAATAGAAAAATAGACATCCAAAATTGAGTTAAACTATATAAGACTGTTCCAACTAACTCAATTCTGCCTGCATACGGGAGGGCTTTGGCTTGCCAACTTCTAACTCTAGCAACGAATATATCAATGAGAGGTGTGTAAGCAGCCAAGCTGAGTTTTCCATAAATCAACGGAACCCCTAAATACCGTACAGGGAATTCACCTAACTGATAGCCATATCTATCAGCTCTCACCTTCCTCTCAACCCGATCCAGGCCACCAAAGAAAATTTCACATTTACTGGGGTTAGATTTAAGACCATAAACTTTCTTAAATTGAGCCATAATTCGTTGCACCTCTTGAATTCCAAAATTAGAAGCATCCGAGAAAACCAACAGATCTTCCGCAAAGCACAGATGAGTTAACTTGATACCTTTACACATTGGATGGTAGGGAAAGAACCCTTTTGCAGCAGACTGATCAATAAAGCACGTAAAAATCTCCATAGCAATAGAAAACATATAAGGAGATAAGGGATCTCCTTGTCTAAACCCTTTCCTAGCTGGAAAGTATCCAACCAGTCCCCCATTAAAGCAGACACTTAGCATAGGAGTCCCCACACACATTCTGATATAGTTCACAAACCTCTCTAGAAACCTCATACACTTAAGCACTTGAAAAATGAAGTTTCAGTCAACTAAGTCGTAAGCTTTCATCAAATCTATTTTAATAGTACATCTAGAAGAGATTTTTTGATGAGAATAGTGATTGACTAGCTCATGAGCTAACTAGATATTTTCTCCTATGAGTCTACCTTTAACAAAGGCTCTTTGGTTCTCTGATTAGAGATGGGAGAACTGGACTAAGCCTATTCGCAATAAGTTTAGATATGCACTTGTAAAGGATATTGCAACAGGAAATGGGTCTGAAATTTTTCATTTCATCGGGATTAGGCACTTTAGGGATAGGAGAAAGAATTGTAGCTTTTAATGGTCTGGGGACTCTATCTTGTTCAAAACATAATTGAATGGCTGATGTTACCTCAAGTCCTATAAGTTGCCAAGCATATTGAAAGAAAGTCGCAGAGAATCCATCAGGTCCTGGACTCTTGTCACCATCCATTGCACATATAACCTCTTTGGTCTGCTCATCAGTGAATGGAGCACATAGCCCCTTAGTCTGCTCATCATTAAGTTTACTTTTCAACAAGCCATCAAAGAAAGCATCTGTTTGAATCTCAACTTCTGAGTCTACCGCTCCCAACAGTTGCTCATAAAATCGAACTGCAATTTGGGCCACCTCCTCAACATCCTGAACTTGGTCCCCTAACTCATTTTTAAGCATCCTGATAGTGCTTCTCTTCTACTTCAATCTGATTGAGCCATGAAAGAAAGCAGAGTTCATGTCTCCTGTATTGAGCCAGTTTTCCCTTGATTTCTGCTTAAAGAAACATTCCTCTGCATCCATTAAAATCTTGAGCTCATGCCTCAATCTTTTCTCAGTTTCAAAATTTCCAGAAGATGGATCAGAGAGAGCTTGCTGCTGAATAGCATGAACCTCAACCTCCTTTTCTTTGACTCTCTCTCTAATATCGGAGTATTCCTCTCTATTTAGCTTCCTTAATAACTTCTTCAGATTCTTAAGCTTCTAACAAACTCTGATCAGAGGGTGACCAATTACGTTACTTCTCCAAGCCTCTTCCAAGACCTCATCAAAAAGAGGGTGATGAAGCCAGAATTTGAAGAATTTGAAAGGCTTCGGGAGTGACTTCAAAGAAGCTTCTGTATCAACATACATGGGACAATAATTCAAAACTTCAGGGGTTTGGAAATGAACTCTGTATCTCTGATTGCATCTAGCCAAGCAAAGTTGACCAATACTCGATCAAGCCTTTTAGCAATCGGATTAGCTGACTGCTTATTCATCCAGGTAAACCAAGGGTCAGTAGCTTGATGCTCTTCCAACTCAAGATCAACAATCATTCTTGGAAGAAAGTCATTGTTGCATCAACCTGGGGAGAGTTTGAAGCTTTTGAAGGATGTCTAATAACGTTAAAGTCTCCTAAGACAATCCAAGGAATAGTGATTCGGGCTTAATTGAACACTTTTTATCCCCGTTTCTCTTTGACGTTTGTTGCAATTGAGCTCCAAAAAGGGGGTGGTTTTACGCTAGGTTTCGTGTGTTTCAGTGTGTTTCATATTCTAACAGGTGAAACCAACCCCGGAGTCGAAAGTTGGAAGAAAAGGAGCAAAGAGGAGGAAACAACTTGTGTTCAAGGTCTGCCATTGGAGTTCACGGTCTTACAGGATCGTGAACTGAAGCCATAATTCATGAACAAAAGAGCGTCCAGAGAAGGTTCTGAGGTTACTGACGCCAAGGTTGTTCACGGTCGCTAAGACCGTGACCTCTGGGATGTGAAGCGTTGCATTTTGGTTCAGCACACTATGTTCAAGGACGCGTTTTGATGTTCACGGCCGTGAACTGAGGTCTAAGACCTTGAACTGATCAACGCGTCCTTGAACTAAGACCTTGAACTGATCAACGCATCCTTGAACTAAGACCTTGAACTGAAGTCTAAGACTTTGAACTGAGTGAACTGAGGTCTTAGACCGTGGACAGAGCACGATCTGGGTATAAAAGGAGAAGGGAGAGCTTTTTGTAGGGTTTTAGTTTTCAGAATAAAGAGGGTTTTGATAGCGATGTAATTGCACGTATTTGCACCCCTAGTTCTTATCCGTTTGAGGGGCATAGTCGTGTATTTTTGGCCTATTCATTTTCTCTTATTCTCTATACTCTTTATCCCGGTGAGGACCTAGATTGCTCGGTCTTAATTCTGATATCTTGAGCTTTGTGCATGAAGTGACTGTTTTGAATAAGTGGTTGAGTCAAGTCTATGTTGGTTGGTGAACAGAAGGGAGACTCTTCCTTTGCTCGATTTTACTGCATTCGAATGTCATCTGTGGTGGTTGTCTAGGTTGTCATTGAGGTTGTCCATGTGTTAATGATCGAAAGCCAGTATGATCCACGTGTTTTGTGCCGATATGATATGCCCTAAAGCATGCTTGATTGAAACGTTTTGAGCTTACCTTGTGTCTGACTTGGTTTGCTTGGGGACAAGCAAA